CCATATCTCCCCATATCTCCCCATATCTCCCCATATCTCCCCATATCTCCCCACTTTTTGAGCCGTCTCCTGTGCTCCGCCGTACCCACTCTCTTCGTACCCCCTCGTCTTCCCGCAGTGCTCCGACTAGTCTGCGCGAGACCGCATCCCCGCCCCATATCTCCCCATATCTCCCCATATCTCCCCATATCTCCCGAGGGTGGCGCGCTCCAGCACGTAGGCCGCCCATATCTCCCCATATCTCCCCATATCTCCCGAGGGTGGCGCGCTCCAGCACGTAGGCCGCCCATATCTCCCCATATCTCCCCATATCTCCCCACATCTCCCGCCCCCGAGGGTGGCGCGCTCCAGCACGTAGGCCGCCGCTCCGCCGGGCTACGGCGGCGACGCGGGGGGGTACGGCGGCGCAGGGGGCGGGTACCCCGTTGGGGGAGGATACGGCGGAGGCGGAGGAGGAGGCGGGTATGGCGGCGCGAGCCAGGCGGGCGCCGTTGCCTCGGCGCTACCTCGGCGCAACTCGGCGCTCCGTCTCAGCTCGCGCCGCCGGGCCGACCTCGGCGGATCTCGGCGGATCTCGGCGGATCTCGGCGGATCTCGGGTCGACCTTGCCTGACTGCGCGCTCCTCCTCGGCTGCACCTCGGCCGCACCTCGGCTGCACCTCGGCCGCACCTCGGCAGCACCTCGGCCGCATCTCGGCCGCAGCTCGGCTGCACCTCGGCAGCACTTCTCGACCCCAAAGGGCGGGCGGCAGGCCCGTCTCCCCATCTCTCCCCATCTCTCCCCATATCTCCCCATATCTCCCCAAAGGCGGGCGGCAAGCTGGTCTGGAACACGGAGCGGCGCGACGGAGGGGGCGACCGCGGCGGCGACCGCGGCGGAGACCGCGACAGCTACCGCGGGCGCGACGACCTAGACACCTCCTGGACACCTCCTGGACACCTCCTAGCCACCTCCCAGACACCTCCTGGTCACCTCCTGGACACCTCCTGGACACCCCTAGCCACCTCCTGCTCACCTCCTGGACACCTCCTGGACACCCCTAGCCACCTCCCAGACACCTCCTGACAACGCGTGGTGCACACTTCTGCCGAGGGCACTGTCGCACTGAGCGCGTGACACGATTGCAACCAAGGCGCGACGACCGCCGCAGCGACCGCCGCTCGCGTTCGCGCGACCGCCGCGAGCGCAGGAGGGAGCGCAGCCGCAGCAGGGACCGCGATCGACGGCGCGACTGAGGCGCCGTTTCCCCTTGCCGCCGCCGCCGCCGCTGCTGCTAGCTCGACACGTCCCGCTGCTGCCGTCGCCACCGCTGTTGCGGCGTCTGCAGCGGTGCGGCGGCTGCCGCTGTTGCGGCGACGGGCGGGCGGCCGCGCCAGCGCGCTTCGCATCGAGGGGAGAGGGCAGAAAAGGGGGGCGGGCGGGCAGCCCGTTCGGTGGTATTGCCCTCGAGGCGTGGCGCCCGCCAGCTCCCGTGGCATATATGGAGTACACTGTGGCTGCATGCGCCGTAGAGAGTCAGTCGAGCGTCTCGGCCGGTCCCGCTCCCGGTCACGTTCTTGCATCCCGTCGAGAGCGTGGTAACACGTGTTCTCCGCACTTAAGCGGCAACTAATCCGTTTCACTCGCTGCAGCGACGCGTTGTTTTGGGTTCCGAACCGTTGTACGTCCAAGTAGGGGGCCCACAGCGCCCCAAAATCCACCAGTGTGGGATTTCGCGCAATCGCGCTTGACTCTGAAAAGCTCTAATGTACCTCCTGCGAGGGCTGTGGTCGCCGCAGACTGGCTCCGACTTGACGGGCGCATGGAGACGTGATGCCTGCATGCGCCCGTCAAGTCGAAATCGACATGCGAGTCGATCTTTGGCCCGCCAGAGGTACATTAGGCGTTTTGGGCGACAAACAGCGCTGCGACCGCGAAGTGGCGGTGGACATGCTCCCATGTCGCCGACGCGGCGCCGGAGTGGCCGGCGCTGCTCGCCGCGACCACGACGGCTACTCTGATACTCCGGGCCGACCCGTCCTACCCGACGGTGGCACTCTTCCACGTCTCGCTCACGCTGAGAAAAAATCTGAAACGGCGTGCAGCAGAGTCACCGACGAGTCGGTCCGAGTGACTCCTCGCGTTCCGTACCGTTCTCACCCATCCATAAACTCACTTTGGCCTCACTAAAGCGAAGGCTGAATCCTCAATCCTCGGATTTTAGATTAGGACGCTGTGGGCCCTCTAGTCCAAGCACGTTCCGTGCCTCGTGCGCGCACGACTCGTGGCCACGCGCGCTCACTCTTGCATGCCGTGGTGCTCACACTGCAGGTGCAGCTCTCTCGCTGCTCTTCCTGGCCCCGCGTCGCCGTGCCAGCTCTGTGGCCGCGCCGGTCGGCTTCGAGTCACGAGTGGGAATACTTCGAGTGCAAGCAGGAGTCCGAACAACCAAAACAAGATCTGGATTCTGGTGTCAGTGTCACATATGAAAGGGTTGCCAAGCCGGTTGCGGCTCTCCCAGCCTGTTGTGGTTAAAAAACAATTGTTGCAGTCTTAGCAAGCAAAAAGGAGCACACACGACTCAGCAAGTCCGCACCAGCGACTGCCACTCGCCTAACCATGCCTCGTCGCAAGTGCCCTCCCAATCGCGTCCAGGCACACACGCTCCGCCTGTTCTCACCCTAACACTCTATCACACCCTTGCCTCCCTGCCAGAGCGAGCTAGATTCTCCCCGCCTCCCTCCCGCCTCTGCCGCGCGCCTTCTATGGACGTCCAGTGCAGCACCTAGGGGGAGAGAGGGGGTTTGCCCTGGTAGCGAGGTGGCGAGGTCGCGCACTGCAAACCCAGTGTGAGGAGTGGGGGAGCTGGGACAGGGCGTGTACGCCTCTGATCTGTCATGGTCTAGTGGCCGATAGGATCCTCCCTTAGGCAACGATGGCGGGTCGGGAGAGGCCCGACTTCATTAGCCTGTTGTGGTTCAGTACCTCGTCCCCTCCGTGCTCTTTCTCTCCGTCTCGTTCCTCTCGCGAGTCTCTTTGGCATCGGGCATGGAGATGCCGCGTGTCGCCGCGGCAACGATCATGCTCCTCACTCTCAACGGGCTCCGGGCGCAAGTTCAAGAGCAGATGCCCGTTGGTGGTGAGTTCCGTGGCGAACACCCTCAGAGGTTTAGAGTATAGCTGGTTGTGTGTCCGAATACTGTGACTGCGACAAGTGATCATCCGAGTCGCGAGGGGCGCCTGCCAACCTCGCTTCGTCGAAGCGGCGCTTCGTACTAACACACCACACACACACGCCGCAATCGTCGCCGGCGCGCGACACGTTCCCGTCGGCGGGACCGTCCTCGTCGAGTGTGTGTCGCAGAGGCGAGACGCACCGTCAGGGACGGTGCCGACGGGACGCGGCTCGAAGGGCGACACCCGCGAAGGCACGGCTGGCACCCGTAGCGCGGGGCTCGTCTTCGGAAAGACCAGGATAGCTCTTGTACTGGCAAACTCCTAGCTGACACTCACGCGCGCCCCGTCGAGCTTACGGCGGGCGCGCTGCGGTCGCACGCCTACCCAAGTCATACGCCACGGCGTGCGATCTAGATTCAGCACACGCGCTTCTGCTCGCGAACACTCATCCAATGAACCACCGTCACCCATGAGTGCGAGTTAGGGCTAGCGGCTGGCCGCTAGCCTGTGAGGGAGCGTCCATAGACACCTCACATGACCCCACACACGGTCTTGTCCGGCCTTGCGGCCGGCTAGATTGCTATAGAGGCGGAGCCAGCCTGCTCTAGTCTCACACGTTCGCCCCTGTCGCCTGTCTGTGTTGTTGTGCTGTGTTTGTGCCCTTGGCACCTTGGAGTGCTGGGGGGGGCGACAGGGGGGACGTGGCCCTGAGTGATTGGATGTGTACGCACACTCAGGGTGTGTGGCAACCCGCTGGCTGCGTGTCTTGTGAGCATTGTGTCTGTGTGTCGCTCGTGCGTGTCGTCATCATCTGTCCCGCGTCCACCCATACCGCGTTGGTGTCCACAGTCCGAGCCTGACTGTTCTTCACCTCCCTACCTAACCTAACCATCCGACCGAATGTATTATTAACAACGAAGGCGCTCTCAAGCGAATGCCACGTTCGGATCGCTCCTCATCGCAAACCCTCGGGTATGTTCGTAAGAGCCAATGAAAAACACTGAAAAAGAAAACAAAAAAGACTCAGATTTTTGTGAGCTAGCCTTCGATGTTATGAAAACAAACGCAAGGCGGACACACGCACATCGCTCTCGGGCCCACAGGATGGCGTCCTCTCGGCCGTCGGCGCTGGATGGTGCCCCGGTGCAGCGCCGCAGCTGCCTGTGCAGTGCGCTTCGGACACTTTAACCTCGTGTGACGACCGTTACGCCTCTCTGAGAGACGTGTGCCAGTGCGTGCGCGGAGCACACACACGGCGAGGCCGTGCACGAGATGGTATCGGTTTGCCCGCGGGGACCACCCGTGACCACCCAGAGCCTATGTCCCCCAAGCCAGGGGCGCAGCGTCGTGAAGGCCGGAATGTGTGCGGACGGACGATACAAGGACAACCGTAGTTTTATTTTAGATGCAGAAGGAAACGAAGGAAGGGTAGAAGCCTCTTCTACCTCTGCTGGTTGAGCTCGAAAACACTCTCACGAGAGACAGAACGGAGTCTCCGAAGAGGGGAGCAAACTCCAAATGGCCGTGTGAAGAACGACTCAGTCTGAGATACGCTGCTTCTGCAGCCCTAGCCAATTCTTGGTGGTCCAAGTCACCTCATCGAGGTACTGGGCCCGCGTCAGCTTGTTTCTGCAGCACGTTCGCCGCCTTCCAGAGGATCTCGCCGACCCCCTTCCCGAACCCACCGTGAACGACTCGAACAGCAGCAGCTGCACGTCGACGTCCTTGTCTTCCCTGGCGTAGCGATACTCGCCGCCATAGGACGGTATGCGGCGGTCGCCGCCCACCACCCTTCCCCCCCTAGTATGCCAGCGACCCGTCCCCAGTCCCCTCTCGCCCTTGCTCTTCCTCTCCCCCTCCATGCCGTCCCGGTAAGGTAAGGTAAGGTAAACTTCTCCACACACACGAGGTGGTGGGGCAAGGGGGGGCGACCCTCGCGTCTCCACGTCTAACGACAGGAGCCCCACGGCATTTAAAGTGCAAGGCCCGGTGCGCGTGGGTGAGCGGTGTGTGTGTGTGTGTGTGTGTGTGTGTGTGTGTGTGTGTGTGTGTGTGTGTGTGTGTGTGCGTGCACTGGTCAAACTATTAGCCTCATAATGAGGAAAAGGCTAATAGCGATTTCAAATAGTGCTACTATTAGCTCAGAGGGGCTAATAGCTGAGCTTCATAACGTCTGGAGCTATTAGAACACCACTATGAGATGGGCTAATAGCGACTATTAGGGCGCTATTAGGGCACTATGAGAGCCTAATAGTGGCCCTAATAGTGCCCTAATAGTGCGGTACCCGCGCGACGCGCACTACGCGCGGCGCGGCAAGAGCGATGGCGCCGACTCTCTAGGAGACGGGCTTCCATGAGGCAACCACGGCGAACGAGAACGTGGAGTCGTTGAACTTGACCGTGGTGACGTCAGGCTTGGTGGTGCTCTTCATCACCTTGACGCACCAGCCGCCGGCGGAGACGCCGGGCCACAGCGAGGGCGGCGCGAGCAGGAAGCTGGTCGTGCGGTCCGCACGAGCGCGGGTGTTGCCTGCGCAACAGGGGCACGGGGACGAGCGTCAGCCCGGCAGCTTGCGGCGGCGCGCGCGCGCGGCGACGGTGCGCACGGCTTGGGAGAGAAGGGAGAGAGAGAGATAAGGCCGCTGCCGCCGCAGAACGCAGGATGTGGCTGCGTGCGGGGCGCGGCGGGCGCGGGCGCGCGCTCGGACCTTGCAATTTCAAACTGCGCACGCCCTGATCACGAACAGGATGCGGGCGGCGCAGAGATCTGCTGCCGCCCGGACCGCCGCCCGGGGATGACCCAGGACCTCGCCGGCGCTGCGCCGGCGAGGGGCCGAAGCCCGGCGGTTGATCACGTTCTCCACACCCGCGCGCGCTGTGCGGTCGCCGTTCCGCCTCACATGCCTGCGGACAGCGCCGACGGGTGGTGAGGAGGGCGGAGAGCCGGCGGGCGCGGTGTGCGCGGTCGCCGCGCGCTGGTGGTGTGCGCGCGGTCGCCGCGCGCTGGTGGGCGACAGGTCACCGAGGCGAGCGGGGAGCGAGCGAGGAGCACACTGGCCAGTGTGCTGTGCGCGACTCTCAAATCGCCAAGTCAAACAAGAAAAACAGCTGCTCGTCGACAACACACCCTGCAGTGGTCGGCATCAGCGCGCCGGGCGCGGCAGGTCGTGCTGCGCTTCGAAAAGCCGCCGGCCTTCCTCTCGCATCGTCTCGTCCAGCTGCGCCTTGACCGATGGCAGCGCAAGGCTTCTCGCCGGATCCTCCGCGATCACCGTGGATGGACGCCAAGAAGACCAGCGCTGCGCCGCACGCCGCCAAACCACCACGCTGGCGCCAGCTCGCAGAGGGTTTCTCGCTGCACGCCAGATGGTCAGCGGGCGCCGATGGCGGCATGGGCGCGACGAGCTCCGTGGCCGGCATGTCGCTATGAGGCCCAGCTATTAGGCCGGGGCGCGCCGTGAAGCATGCGGCATGAATCGCGAAATCGCTAAGTGCGCATTATGAGGGTCCATTATTAGGACATCGGCTATTAGCACACCTAATAATTGCACTATTAGCCCCTCTGAGCTAATAGTAGCACTATTTGAAATCGCTATTAGCCTTTTCCTCATTATGAGGCTAATAGTTTGACCAGAGGTGGCTGGACTGTTTGGGGTGCCGGTGCTGGCGCTGAAGACGGTGACCGACATCGTGGATGACGAGACGCCCAACCACGAGACCTTCATGGCCAACCTGGCCAGCGCCTCCCAGAAGCTCCAGGACGCGATTCCGGAGCTGCTGAAGTTTGTGCACGGAAAAGAGGCGAGCGGGCTGTGACGCGTGTGAGCTCTCGACGTCAGGAGAGCTAATAAGAGCTACTAGTACATACACTGATAACCACAACCGAGCGGGCGCACCCTTACAGATCACAGATCACACCCGAGCCGGACTCATTTTCGGTGTATGTAGCTCTTACGTATACCGATTTTTTTGGCGTCCCGCCTCGAGCTACAGAGATCCCGGCCGGTCACTTTCGTGTACGTGTCGCGCCGATACGCAAGGTACTCTCCAGTTGTGGGGAAGTCGGAACGGCTTAGAATGCGCATGCCGAGGATCGAGTCTGGCTCACTCACAGGCCACCTCGCTCGCGCACGGGCGGGGACCTGTTCCTACCTTGGATACCCATCACTGAGCCGACGATGCTATGGGTAGCCCCAGGGTGGCGCCCACCCCCATGCCCTCAGGCACTTGCCTGCGCCCTGGCCGCGCATGCCGCGCACGCGCGCGCGCACGCGCGCGCGCACGTGCGCGCATGGCTCATCAGCAAGGCACTGCGAAGCTGGACGGGACGGGAGGTGAAGCGGTGCGAATGTGGATCCATTCGGGTCAACCGCAGCGGCCAAGGCTGCGAGCAGCCAAGGCAGCGCCATTGCGGCGGCGAAGTTCTCTCTCTCTCTCAGTGTATGTGGCTCTTACGAACGTACCCGAGGGTTAACTGCTGACAGGGTTTGCGATGAGGAGCGATCCGAACGTGGTTGGCACTCGCAGCGCTTGGTTGAGCATTTCGGCAGAACGCTTCCCCAAGTCGACCGTGTTCGCGGGGCAGGCTCAGCCTGGCCGCTGTGCGCCATGCACATGCTCCTCGCCGCCGCTTCGTCGCTCGTGCTCGTGCCCTTGCAAAGGCCCCGCTCCTTCTCGCTGCCTCTCCACTCGATCGTCGACCCGCCGCGCGACACGGACGCGCTGCTCAGCCTGCACTGCAACGCCTCGCAGCCACGGTGCAGCGCCGGCCGCACGTGCGCCCTCGACCCGCTGCTCACGTCCGGAGGCAACATCTCGTGCGCCGCACCGAGCGCAGACCCTGCGGACTGCCACGTCTGCCTGCACAAGTCGCTGCTCCCGCTCGGTCCTATCGACGGGTACGGCAGCGCGGTGCTCTTTGCGGCGGGAACACTCGCCGGCGCGTCTGGCATCGGCGGCGGCGGGCTCAACGTGCCGCTGCTGCTGATCGTGATGGGCTTCCTGATCGAGGAAGCGGTGCCTATCTCGCACGTCATGGTCTTCGGCAACGCCGTCGCACAGAACATCGTCAACCTTCCGCGCCGCCACCCAGCCGACCCGAGCCGGCCGGTGGTCGACTTCGACGCGCCGCTGCTGCTGCTGCCGATGATGCTCGGCGGGAACGCGTTGGGGGTTGTCCTCTCGCCCGTCCTCCCGGCGCCGCTGCTCGTGCTCCTCTCGTGCGTGGTGCTCGCCCTCGCCGCAGTAAAGACTTGGGCGCACGCGGCGCGAGACTTTGCTCGAGAGCGCGCGGGCAAGCAGCAGCAGCAGCGGGCGCCGACAGGCGCTCGTGCGTCGGCGGCGCCGTCCGCGCCGTCGGTGGAGGGCGCGGTGCGCGACGATTCGGCCGCGGTTCAGCAGCAGCGCGGCCGGCGGAGCTGCAGCGACGAAGGCTCTGCGGACGCGCGGCGCTCGCTGCTGCAGCCGGCCGCGCCGCCGTCGAGACCGCGACTGCCGAGCCGCGACGATTCTGGCGCCGGCGGCGAGGGCGGGGGCGAGGGCGGGGGCGAGGGCGGCGGCGAGGGCGGCGGCGAGCGCGGATGCGGCGAGGGCGGAGGCCATGCGGCCGCGGCGGCGCTGGGCCAGCATTCGCCGATTTGCTCCAGAGTTGCCCTGCTCTCGGCCTTTTGGGCGCTCTTCCTGCTGGACGATCTCGGCGTGCAGCTCAGCGGCGCCACCGACCGGTGCTCCGCACCCTACCTCGGCTGGAAGCTGGGTCTGCTCGCCGCCGTCGCCGCCGCCACGGCCGGCGGCGCGCGGCTCGCGGCGCGTTCTCGCGGCGCTCAGCCTCGGCTAGAGGGTGACCTGGAGTGGGGCGGCGCGGCGGCGGTCTGTGCGGCGGGTCTCGCACTGCTGGTGGGGATGGTCGCGGGCCTCATCGGGTTGGGCGGAGGGGAGCTGATGGCGCCGCTGCTACTGGCGCTCGGCATGCTGCCGCAGGTCGCCAGCAGCACGTCCGCCTTCATGATCCTCTTCACCTCCTCCTCCGACCTCGTGCACTACCTCCTCCAAGGGGTGCTCGCGCCTCAGCCCGGCTACGCCGCTTGGGCCCTCTGCCTCGGCTTCGCCTCCGCATACTTGGGCCGGCGCGCTTCGTACGCCCTCGTGCAGCGGCTGCGCCACCCGTCGCTGCTCGTCTTTGCACTCGGCGTCATCCTGCTGCTGGCGCTCGCGCTGCTCGTCGCTCGCTCGGCGGGCAGCGCGCACACCTCGTGGGCGTTTGGCCTGCTCTGCGCGCCTCACGGCGCGTAGCGGAGCGGTTTGCATTGGTGGGGCGAGCTCGCTGCATATAGCGCATTTCTCTCAGCCACTCAGGGGCCTTCTCTCGGCACACTCCCCCCCCGCGACGCCGCGTCTACTCCGGACTCCGCGTCTCGCTGCCTCTCCGCCGGGTTCTCTCTCACCCTGCTCAACACCGGCGGGGGACGCGGGGCATCCGACCGAAGGGTGAGTACGGAGTGCGAGTGGCGCGCGTGCATCTCGTCTGTATATTTTTCCGTGCGTTGTGAAAATGATGAAACACACGTATCTCTCTTCCTTCGCGCCCTGGCGCAGCGCCGTCCTAGCAGACTCGAGGAGACCGAGCCCCGACTCCAAGACGGCAAGTACGGTCTTCCACATGCGTCAACCTCAGCCAAACGATGATTCCACATGCCCTGACTCCTCTAACGTTGAACTCGCACCCCGGCACTCCTGTGTAGCGGAGCGCGACGTATTTGACAGCGGGGGGGGGCAACATGCACGATTGTGAAGCATGCTCAGGCGGACGCCGCCGGCTGGCTCTTGAGCTCGACTCTTACCGTGTTGTTTGATCCCGGCACAAGCTCCACGACCACTCGGCCAGAGCACTCGCTAGTCTCGCTACTCCGGGGCGACTTCTTCTCGTCCTCGAGCAGATCCACCTTCTTGACTCCAGCGAGGGCGTACAGATCGAAATCCATCTCCGCTCTGTGGAGGAGGCCCAGTCACACTTGGCGAGCTTTGAGGAAGTGCCTCCGACGAAATCAGAAAAAAAGAATTTCGGCGTTGCGTGCGCCGCAAGGCAAAAACCCTCTTCCACCGACGGGTACAATTTGGGAGCAAAAGAACAGATGCACTACGGGGAGCAAAAGAACAGATGCACTCTTCCACCAACGCGGTAACTGGGTGGACGCGGGACAGAAGAGGACGACACGCGCGAGCGACGCACCGACACACAAACTCACAAGACACTCAGACAGCTGGGCTGCCACAGACGTGAGAGGGTCGGTGCAACTGCCTGTGCCCCCTTGATCTACCCCCTTCCAACCCCGCTCCGGAGAACGCGCTTGCCCGCCCTCACCCCGTCACTGGCCTCCTCCAGCCTGCGCAGTCCGCCGTCCGACTCTGGCGGGTTGGGAGACGGAGGCGGCAAGGGAGGAGGCGGCATCGACGGCGAGGGCGGCGGGGGAGGCGACGCGGGTGGAGTCGACGGCCCCGGCGGCGGCGGGGAGGGAGAGATGTCGCCCAGGGGAGGCGGCGGCGGCGACGGAGGGGGAGGCACCGACGGTGGGCTCGGCGGCGACGGCGGCGGCGACGGCGGCGATGGGGGCAGTCGACGACGCTTCGCCCAGGCCGGGCACGATGGTGCCGCGACGAGCGGCGTCGAGGCGACGGCCATCGATGGGTCCAGAAGACTTGGCGAGACGTCGCAGAAAAAAACCGAGCACAATTGCGTTACATGGGCATGGCCGGGGTTTCTGCACCGAACGATCTTACTTTCGGTCTATCGAAAGTGTTGATCGATAAAATTCTTTTAAGCTCTTCTGGTCGCAAGAGGCATTTCATGAGGCTGCTCGAGCGCGTCCTTCTCTCCGCGGCCTCTTCTCCGATGAGGTTGCCGCCGTCGCCGCTTGCGCGCAGCGGCCCGATTTCCGCCAACCTCTTTGGCGACATCATGGGCGACGCGCTCAAAGAGCAGAAGCCGTACGAAAGGCCGCTTTTGCCATCGCTGGTCAAGAAGCAGCCAGCAAGCTACCAGCTGCAGGAGAAGATGTTCTCCTTCTCGGGCGAAGACTTTCGCGTCCGCGACCTCTCCGGGCAGGAGGTCATCACCATCGACGGAGGCAACATCAATCTCGGCGGCTGGGTCCTTGACAAGCTCGCCTTCAAGGAGGCGTCGAGCGGCGCCAAGTTCTGCAGCGTCGAGCGGCGCGCCATCGCCGCGTCGACGTGTTACGACATCTACTCGGCCGACGGCGGCGAGTGCGTCGCAAAGGTCGAGCGCGAGTGGATGTCGATGACGCCAAAGTACAAGGTCGGATCACCCGAGAGTACCCGAGAGTACCCGAGAGTACGCCAAAGTACAAGTGATCGCCCGGCGGGCTTCGCTCCGAGCCAGCGTCTGACGCCCCGAGTTGCCCTCGTACCTGGTGCCGTCGGGCGCGCGGGCGCGCCGTTTTACTACGAGAGGGCAACGCGACCCCGTCCACCAACCCCTCACCCTCACCCTCGCCCGCAGTTTTACTACGAGGGCGACGCGACCCCGTCCACCAACCCCTCGCCCTCACCCTCGCCCGCAGTTTTACTACGAGGGCGACGCGAACCCGTTTGCCGACTTTGAAGCCGAGGGCGCCTTCCCCTAGCAGCGGAGTAGCCTGTGTTCTTCTTGTCTCCCAAAGCGCTCAAGAGGACACGTGCTTCAACGCACTCGCCGCATTTGGTGCTGTGTCCCTCGTATTCACCCGGTGCTCTCACCACACACTGCAAGGACCGTACGCCCGCTCCGATGTTGGTGTATTCAGCACGTGCTTTGGTCAGCTCTCCCACCTTTGCTACCGCACCACCCACCGGGCTGAGCCCACACTGGATTCGATACTCTGGAGGTATGGTACACACGCAGGCTCCTTCCTCGACCGCACCTACACCTTCAAGGCCGGCTGGGGAGACACGATCGCGAGGGTGCGGCGGGCGCCAGAGGCACGCGGATCTGAGATCCCCCGAGATTCCCCGAGATTCTCCGAGATTCCAGAGAGGGCCGGAGGCACTTGCAGACCCTGCACGCGCGCTCTCCCCCCCGCCCCCCCTCCCCCTCCCTCTCCCTCTCCCTCTCCCTCTCCCTCTCCCTCTCCCTCTCCCTCTCCCTCTCCCTCTCCCTCCCCCTCCCTCTCCCCCTCCCCCTCCCTCTCCCTCTCTCTCCCGCGCCCCGCAGAGCACGGCTCGCAACGGCCCTCGGGGAATCTCGGGAAATCTCACCTGCGTATGGCCCTCGATCACCCCGAGCCTCGCGCGCCGCCACCCTCGCTCGCCCCGACACACAGCCCTGTCCCGCCTCTCTCGATCAAATCTCTCATCACGCGCGCACACACACCTCGCTCACTCCGCCGCGGAGGAACATAATTTTAGGAAGAGAAAGCGCGAGCGGCGCCGCGCCGCCACCCTCGCTCGCCCTGGCCAGGAAGAGAAAGCCGCGCCGCCACCCTCGCTCGCCCTGGCCCTCGCAGCTCGTGTCGGATCTGGACACGTACGTGGTCGATGTGGCGGCGGGTGTGGACGCGGCGGCAATCCTTGCGATGGCGGTCATCATTGACGAGGAACACACGCGCGCGCGCACATCACGCACACACACACACACACACACACACACACACACACACACACACGCACGCACGCACGCACGCACGCACACGCACACACACACACACACACACACCTGAC